AGGAGGGCCAAGGGGATCCCACCAGGCCCCTGGGTGCCACTGGAGCGAGACACGAGCTGGGGCTGCACCAAATGGCCTGGTGACAAGCTGCTCTCCAGCCTTATCTCTGTCTGGAAACCCCTCTCCCTTCCCTGCTCTTCTAATAAATAATTGCAACTCCAGCGCCATATCAAAGCCTCGCTTCTAACGTGCTCGCGTTGTTTGCACTCTCCGCCGTGCCAAGCCGAAGCTGCGATTCCTTCCTTACGCCGGTGCCTGTGTCAGTGTCAGATTCCTATCGGAGGAAAATGCTACATCCCGGGCTGGGTGAGCAGAGCATCATCCCTGCCCCTAGGGGTGCCTTGCAGCAAACCCGCTCCTGCCACGGCCTCGCCGCTCCAGGGCTGCCTTTTTCTTTCCCTTCCTCCGGCCGAGTCTCCTCCCCGGATCCCCGCTCCAGCACCAGGCGGCTCCCCGGGAGCTTTGGGAGCATCTTCCACTGCCCTCTGCCGACACGAGCCAGAGCCACTCGCAGGCCCTGCTGCTGCCTGCACGATGTAGCTTTGGGATGGATTTTTATTAATCGTTCCTCCACACGGCGGGATGCTGGATGCCACTGGCTTGGAGGCCCATTCCAACCCCTTGGAGGAGGACTGGGTGCCCCAGCCCCGCCGGGCCCTGTTGCAGCTTGCTGAGCAGCAAAGCCATGGGGCTGAAGAACAAGTGAAGCACTGGGGGTTGGAGGCCTAGGCCAGGGCCACGGTGATGGGGACTCACCCAGGAATGGGCCGGGCAGCCTCTGGGAGAGATGGAACTCTGCTCCTTTACCAGGAGCAAAGGTGCTCCTCTGTGCTTGGGGGCAAGGGCAAAATTGTAATGCGTCCTCATTGCAACTGCTTGCAAACGGGGGACTGCAGCATCCTGCCCCATGGCGAGGCCTTGGGCAGCAACAGCAAGTGGTGGCTTTGCCAGGGCCCCACTGGCAGGGCTTTGGGAATGCAGGGTGCAGAGAAGGAGGCACCTGGCAGAGAGAAAGCCAGGTCAGAAAGCTTGAGCAAGGGCAACCACCAACCGCATTGCAGGGACTGTCACCTTTTCCCCCTTTCCAGCGCATGCTGAGATGCCACCTTGTCCTTGTCCTCGATGGCATTCAAGCTGCGCTGGGCCTCAACACCAGAGGTGCTGCCTGCCATGTTGCTAGTGAGCTTCAGGTTGACCCTTTTTAGGGCTGCAAAATTGGCCCACTCAAAGCTGCAAAGCTGAGCAGTTGCAGATGTTCCAGATGTGGGAGAGCCAAGAAGGGCAGATCCTGAGAGCTTTGCACCTTCGAAAGAGGCAGTGCAAGCAGGATTCTTCGGTGGGAGGAGGAAGCAGCCTCTGAACACGGACCTCACTCACCTGCCCCGCGCCGAGCCCCGTGGGGCTGCGCTGCTGCAGCGCCTCGCCGGCGGTGCACAAAGGTGGCAGGGATCCAGCGGTAAATTAATATTTTATAGAACACCGCGGAAAATCAGAGAGGCTAATTACAGTGATAATCATCTGGGCCTCGAGGCGCTTCCACGGCAGGCGAGAATTACCCGGGATTACCTCCGCGATTCCAGGCAGCGCGGCGCGGGCGGCAGAGCACGTGGGGCGGCGGGAGCCAGGAGCCCTCCGTGCTCCATCCCGGAGCAGCCCCCTTTCCCGCTCACCATGGCTGGACTTCCCGAAGGGTTGGATCTGGACGGGATAGCAGGTGCCATGCTGGCGCGGCTGATCTGGTGCATGCAGGGGCTGCGGAAGGGAGCCGAAGTAGGAGCCGTGGGCGCTGCTGGGGTGCAAAGCAGGCGGAAATCCAGGGGTGCTCGGGGCTTTACTGGCAGAGAAGCATGCGAATGTGTCCCCCAGGACAAGCTGTTCCCAGGGTTCGTTCATTAGCGATGGTAATTGCTAATTGGAGCGCTTTGTCTGGGGAGCAGATGCGCTCCGCATCCCTCCCGCGGCTTGAGGGCAGTCTCCTCAGGCTATCCTCCTCAAGGCGCCCCTGTCCCCAGCAGCGAGCTGGGCAGGAGAGGCCGTCAGGCTGCTCCTCTTCCTCCCCCTCACCCCGTCTCAGGGGTCACTGTCCCCCAGCCTGGCTCACGGAGGGACCTTCAGCTCTTCCCTGGCCCAGGGGCTGCAGCACTAGGGTGCAAGGGCCAGGCAGGGCACAGTTGTCCACTCTCCTCGACTCCTCACTGCACACCCACTGGGTTAGCAGAAGACCAGAGTAAATTGCAAGGGAATATCCAAGGGTCAGCCTAGTAGGGCCCATGATTACCCGTGGTGGTGCCAGCCCTAGGCACTCCATGACCAAAGCCAGTGCAAAGATCTGGAGAGCTACTGCCACCAGCTGTGATGCCCTCTCCCAAACGGGCATAGCAGAGAAGGTGGCAGGCCCTGAGAACATCCTTTTGGCAGCCTCCCCCATATTGTTCCCAGCCTTTTAACCACCACTTGCACCACGAAAGCAACATTCCCCTTCTGTATCCTTGCTTCCAACTTAGCACGAATATACCAAGAGGGCCCTTCAAGGAGCTACCTGCCAAAATAGCACCCCATGTGCGGCCCAGTCACCCTCCAGTGTGTCAGATAGACAGCAAAGGATCCCCACTGTGCAAGGACTGCAGTTGCATGGCGGGTGCTCACCAGCTCTATTCATATCTGCCCATGTGCTGCGTTTCTTTGCTTACCCGCATTTTGCAGACCAGATGGCCGAGCAACGTGGGCACGGGCGGGCGCGCTGCCTGCTCGGCCCGTGCACCACCAGGACTTGCCAGCACAGTCGGTGCCAATGGCCCTTCATGGCTACCCTGCTGCATTAACACCTTGTGAGTGGCTTTTGGCATGGGGATGGGTGCAAGGTGAGTCAAGTTTTAAGGACTGATGGTCCAGATGTTCCTGCGGCAGAGGCCTGAGGGGCCTGCGGCATAATTGCAGTTTGCGGATGTCGGTTCCTGGCAACTCACGGCTGAAGACCCGAGCTCAAAGGGCCCTTCGGCTGATGTGCTGGGGGAGAAGGATTTTCGATCCGCTATCTTGATGGTGGTTTCTCTCCAGTTCTTCCCTTACAAACCCATCTTAATCCGGCCCTGGAGCGCTCAGGAGAAAATCAAAGCATGACTCATCTGAAGCTAAACCTCAAACCACGCTGCAGGTCTCGGAGATGCTCTCGCGCTTCCCCACGCTGCCTCTGTGGAAGCGGGAAGGAGAAGCAAGTGCAGCTTCCATCGTGCCAGCTCCTTCCATGGCTGGACCCGGCTCCAGCCTGACTCCTTCTGCCCTCTAGTAGCAGCAGAGCTTACAGCAGCGCGTGCTCTCCCCGTGCCGGGCCCTTCTCGCTGCACCCGGGGCAAGCGGAGCTGCCAGGTGTCCCCGGAGAAGCCTGGCTGTCACCTGGGCCCAGGCAGGCAGCACGGAGCGATTCATTCCTGTAACTCTTTGGCCAACTTGGAAAATAACTGCCTGCCGCTGCGGCTGGTCAGTGGCCACGGAGAGGGACCTGTGGGTAGAGCAGAAGTGTCTGTCGGGATGTAACCCTGGATGGGGAGAGGGGACAGAGCCCTTTGCGGGTCAATCACGGACCTTGCTGTAGGGGCTCCCGCTGATCGCCTCATCCCGGTGCAAAGCGGGCAGCAATCCCGACCCCCTCCCCACCCCGGGACACGACCGGGGGACAACTCCCGTTAGGGGTGACCGTTTCGCG